TACTACACAGTTTCTTTTCTATTTGCCAAAATCGTGATTCATAACCATTTCTTCACCTGCCCTAATGCTCTGTGACATATCATAAACCACTTCACTGTGATAACATGTCTAATCCTCCCAGTAATGTAGTGAAAGTGATTATCGCTTTACTCATGAAAAACTCATGAAGCACAGACTGTGTGAATAAGTTGATGCTATCTTGTAAGAGAAAAGATTTTAAATGAGATCACATGGCCAGCAGTAGGCATGAAGCCCACCTCATCTTTGTCATGCTTTATTCCTACATTGTGTATCTCTTGGCATCTGTTTCATATTTCCAGAATGCAGCCTCCAGTCACTTGGTCCTTGGATGCCAATTGTAACCATGCAAGAGTAAACTCCCTGACTCTTGAAGCATCTTACCTATTCCCCACCACAGATGCATGGGGATGGAATCTGTTCTCAGATATTAGAGAAAATAGTTTTCTTAGGAATGAGTTACATGTATTTCCAACCTAGATAACATCTCATTTCATATCAGAAGTTAATTATGATAAGTAAAACTAATCTCTTTAAACTATTTGAGGGGTGAAGATGTGAGTCAGTGAAAGAGTACTTACTACATTCAAGACCCTCTCAGTTCAATCCTGCACTAGAAAAAATACACACATCTATGGAGACATTTCATATGTAGGTTATAGTTTCTTTATTTTAGTATATTTAACTTTAGCATATTTAACTAGTATTTACTAATCACTATCCATTAAATTATAATTAGATTGTCATGGAAATTCATACATTTACTAAATGATATCACAAAATTTTGTTGAATTGATTCAAGTGTCAGAAACTAGAAAACCTGATACAATTTAGTTTTCAGGTCTAACCCTCAAGGCAAAAGTTAGGATCTCCTGCCATACATACAATACTAAAGTAAATGGTATCTTTTTTTTTCTTTATTTCTCACGAAACTTTATTGATGTGTGAACCCGAGTGCTAGAGATTGTAGATTTTACTTGAGAAAGATTGTTTGAGTCAGCAAAGATATGTTTTGCCTAGATGGGGATCCCAAACGGCTCCTGAAATTAATTAATTAAATTAATTAATCTATTCATTACCAGGGTGACAGAATGGGTTTAAAGAAAATTAGGGGCACAGAAGGGAAAAAATTAGGAGAGACAGGGTAGGGACGCTTAACGATTTCCAAAAAAATTCATTTAAACAAAAATTTAAATAGCGACAAAGATTTGAACAAGATCTACCTGGTTTGAACCAAATCAAACCGATTTAGGCTGGCTCAAACTGGATCAAACCAGCTCATTTCAGTTAAAACAGGATCAAACTGTATCAGACCGGATCAAACTGGATCACACCATTGTCGACTGGTTCAAAACTGTATGAAATTGGATCACACCAGATCAAACTGCATCAAACCAGTGTAGACTGGCTCAGAACTGGATCAAACTGGTTCAATGTGGATTGAACCTGCATAATCTGGATTAGATTTTTACAGGTCCGCCAATGCTAATCAAACCAGTTTAGACCGGTTTAACCCGGTTTTGGCCAGCTCAAAACACATCAAACCAGCTTAGCATGGATCAATCCGGATCAAATTCGATCGGACCAGATCAAACTGGTTCAAACTGGATCATTCCAGTGTAGCAGTGGATTTGCTCCCCACACCCTGCCTCACCCCTAGCCACGCCCTAACCCCAGGCCTAACCCAAACCCTAGCCACGCCCCAATCATCTCACCTTCCAACCCATAGCAATGCCGCACCCCTAGCCCTGCCCCAAACTCCAGCCACTCCCTCTCCTAGCACCGCCCACCCCTGATCCGCTCCAAACCCTTGCCAGTAAATGGTATCTTAACTCCTTCAGGGGCCTCTTGTGTCCCTGCCATGGTACCATCATGATCTCAAGATCAACATTTTCTCACGAAAAGTGAATTTCAAATGGAACCAAGATTCACGTTATAATTGCATATCCTGAAACATTTTCTTATATTTTATAGACATGTCCACAAGCAGATTAGTATGTGTATATAGTAATAATTATTTTTATCAATACTAAACTATACTAAAACAATAGTAATAATAATAAAGAAATACTTTCAGATTCACCCAGAAGCATGGAAAGAAGCAAGAAGTCTGTTGTTGGAGACGCTTGTTTGTTCCCAGCGGCTCAGTCCTGAAATAATCACATAGGAACCATATATTATTTGCAATACTCTTTGGCCAAGAACTTAAGCATATTTTTGCCTAACTCATATTTTAAATTAACACATTTCCATTAATCTGTGTATTGCCATGAGGCCATGGCTTACCAGGTAAAGTTCTGGCGTCTATCTCTGGCAGGGCTACATGAATTCTCACTCACTCTGCCTTCTTTCTCCCAGCATTCAGCTTAGTTTTCCCCATCTACCTCTATTCTGCCCTGTGCAGGCCTGTGACAGTTTTTTATTTACCAATAGCATACAGAGGGGAATTCCACATTAGTCCATCCATGAAGACTAATCTTTGAAATGTTCAGGACATGCTATTTCTTCCTACAGGATGACTTTAGTTTTGATTGTTTTTTTTTTAATAAATGTGCTTACCTTCAAATGATAACTCTTTCTTAATAACTTCCCTTTGGAGTCATTGCACTGTTGTGATAAATTATCGTAGACTGAGTGGCTAAATGATGGACATATACAACTCATAGTTTTGAGGCTGGAATGTTGTGTAATTAAAGGAGGTTGACAAGGGCCCATAATAAAAGATAACAATGTTTATTGGGACTTATTCACAACAGAAGGCCACTGCATTCCTCTGCTATGTGGGCACTGGTTTTGTGAACTAAACTCTGACCACCAACCAAGTGCAAGGAAAAAGATGGATGAGCATGCTTCCTGTCTGTGCTTATAGTACTTAAGACCATGCCCTAGTGGGCTGGTAGCTAAAAGACTATTGGCTGAATGAATTTCCACAACAGCTCCACTTTTGTCTAAATAAGAGGGTTTTAAACCTAAAACAATATATACAATAAGAACAAATATCAAGTATTGTCCAGGAAAAAGAAAAGGAAAAAATATATATAAGAATAGAACTACAACCAACATGAACAAGATTAAACACGTTAAATGTCTAGACTAAGGTAATTAGCAAATAACAGATTATTTCTGTTAACAGTAGCTGTCCTATCCTGAGTAATCTAAGTCTTGTACTGAATGTCTTATCTAAATTATGAGAGGAAAGTAGTCATAATTATCTAGTCTTCAATGCCATCAAAATCCTGAGAAGGAAAACAATATTACCTATGTAAGCAGGAAGTGCAAGAAAGCGACTTTGGAAATGTACAAAAAATGACAGAGACAGTTGGCTACCTGGGCAATCACCCAAAGTCTCATTTGCAATGTTGGGGCAACCAACTTTGGCGAAGGCCTAGAGTATATGACAGATCATATTCGGAGGCAGGAAAATCTGGAAGTCTTACCCCCTCTCGGCAAGGTCCAGCAGCCATTTTTGTTTGTATTCTGCTTGTCCAGTATGGACAGCCTGCATGTTGTCAGTAGTTTAAACAGAGGCAGCTCTTTGCCCAAAAGCCAGTTTTGCCAAAAAGAAAACAAGTTCCAAGTGGAGTGTCTTCAGTGCCCAATATTTTCTCGGGAAGGGATTGGTACTACCAGGAGCAATTGTGTCTCATGTCAGCAAAATCTTGAGTTATTTAAATGTAATATTTTATAGTTCTTTGAAGTATTTGAAGATTACTTATCTATGTAAAATATGATCTAGTGCATTTAGATAACCTGACTAGTCTAACTATAAGTATGATTAACATAGTTGACTATTGACTTGTAATTCTTAATACCTATATAGCTTAAAGACTAAGGCTTCCATTCTAAAATGAAACAATCTTTAAAAAGATGAGCAGCAAAGGAGGACAATGACCCCAAAATGTAATATATATATATATATATGTGTGTGTGTGTGTGTGTGTGTGTTTGTGTGTGTGTGTGGTGTGTGTGTCTGTGTGTGTATATCTTGACCAGAGGTAGAAATGTGTAGTGCAATATGATAAATACATCCTAAAATTGCACCAATATACAAAATATCTTAAGCAGAAGTAGAAGCACTCATGCCTACGGTATGACAAAATAAGTTTCCATGTTCATGGTGCAGGCATTTTGCTTTGGAGCAAGGCCTTCTTCATTGTGACAGTCTTCTCACTGACCATGTGTGGAAGAGAGAGAGATCTGTCTGTTCTTTCTCCCCACCTTAGGAGAACAATGATTTCATTATGAATACCCCACGCTTATAACATTCTCTAAATCTACTTTTATTTCTAATTTCTTCCAAATACCTTTATATTGAGGGTAAGACACAAACATTCAGTCTTGATATTGTCTTTTTTGAACTGCGTATGAACCTTGTCCACGTAGGTGTGTGTGTGTGTGTGTGTGTGTGTGTGTGTGTGTGTGTGTGTGTGCATGCATGCGTATGCACACACTTGATTGATATACAAAATAAATGGATGCCAGAAAACAAAGTCAGTTGTCATTGCTCAGGTCTACTTTGTTTTCTTTGTTGTTGTTGTTGTTGTTTGTTTGTTTGTTTGTTTTGAGAGGGGGTTGCTGTCCTAGAACTTGTTGAGTATGCTGGGGTGACTGGCCAGCAAGCCCTGGGGATCCCTCTGTCTGCCTCCCCAGCATTGGGAATGCAAGAGTCTGCCAACACGCCTAGCATTTTTTAACTAGTTTTTGAAGATCAAATTCAAGTCCTTGTGTTTATATGGCAAGCACCGGCATTACTGATCTGTTTCTCTAGCTTTACATAATTTTTTTAACGTTTTCAATCAAAATGCCTTTTAAAAGCAAAGCACTCTCCAGTTTACCATGCTCCACGCTTCCTTGCCATCTTATCTTAGATACTCCCAGTGGTGTGGACTACAAAGTTTCTGTTGGTATTTAAACTTGAATTTCATAGTTTCATTATCAATCAAGATTTAGGTATTAAAATACTCTTGGTCTTTCTCTTACAGGATGGAGAGCCTAATACGGGGAAGGCATCCCCCACAATATCAGCGAAGTCCTTATAAGGAGGCTCGTGCAGCACTGCGGAAGAGGCCTGAAGAGGAGTGTAAGTATGTCTGACCATAATAACCAAGTTCTAGGTAGATTTCTAGTAAATGATGCAAAACAAGAAATTAGAGAGGTATTCAATAAACATATATGAAATTGACCTGATTTTTTTAATTACAACAAATACAAGTAAGTACTTTGAACTCTATTTTTCCATGAGTATTCCTCTGGTACTCCAGAGACTTCATGTGGCATTCAGATTTTGTGTGAAATGAGAACAGAAAAGTCCACACAGTACTCTAACTCTTTCGAGATTTAGAGATACAACATACATACATACTAATGTTCTGAGGAGCCTAAGGTAAACAAAATTATGAAATGTCCTTAAAATCAACATTTTGCAATTTCCTTTGGTCTACAGTTCTCTTTGAACATTTTTTTTCTTTCTTAAAATGCCACACTTTTGAAAAACACTGGCAACTGGAAAAATAAACGCCTAAGGGTAAATGTATACCCATTTGTCAAACTGAAATTTTATATTTAATAGAATTTAGTAAAACGTTTTGAAAGATGGATGGCATTGTAAAAAACACTTTAATCCAATCTCAAACTATTTCATATTAGAATGTGCAGTTGTCTGTAGATATTTTCTTTAAATATTTATATCCCATAGCATATAACAGATTTTTGGAGACTTTTGGCATGATATTCATATCTGAAGTTTTAAGATGACTCATGAAACTAACTTTCCTTGTGGTATTTGCATACAGTTATTTTTGGCATACTAAATTGTGCTCCATTATGACATTCATCTAAGTTTTGTCCAATTTTAAGAAATTACATTTCTTAACTGTGAGGTTTGTGCTGAACTCCACAGACATAGATAACATAGTAGATTATTAACTTTATATTTGCATTTTAAATTAGTTTGAAGTGTGGCTAAAGATCAAACACACTGCCTGCATACCCAACCAGTGAATCATTCTCACTGTGTGCTGTATAGTGAAGTCAGTATATACCTCTTGGCAGTAACTTCTATGCCATTCACCAGAGGGTTGAATTTACGTCCTATAGCCTTATAAATAATATCCAATAAGAACTAAAATGTGAAAGTGAAGATGCTGTTCAACAATAAGCACTTATGAAGAGCCTTGCTATTAAGTACTACCTCTTTTACTGAATTCATAGGAAATGCTGGACTTTCTCCTCTTCTGATTCAATACCCCCTCTTCATTTCTGGTATAAGTCTATAGATTTTACTTAAAAACTCAGAAGTAAGAGAACTAAGATATGTGGATACATTGGTAAATTGTTCCCAGAAAATTGCTGTTTAGTATAGTGATTTCTATGAGTGAATTATAGAGGCCAGTAGTTACTCAGCTGCAGTTTACTATAGTACCCATTCTGATGCCTATTTCCATAAGTATGACATTATGGAAACACATAGTGATTAGATGCTCTGCAGAGCTACCTTTAGCTTCACAGAAATACTCAAGTAGCCACAACTCAGGCTAAATGTTCCACAGAACAAAGCCAGAGTCCTTTATCTGGTTCTTTATCAGAAAATTTTTATTTATTTATTTTATTTTTATTCTTTGAGATAAAGTTTCACTAGGTGTCCTAAACTGGCTTCTAACCGATGGCATCACACAACACTTAGGAAAGATATGAACTCCTATCTGAAATAGTGTCTTAAATTGTGGCATCTAAGTCGGCAGCAGATAAATCATCTGAGAACTCACCAGATGAGCGGAGTCAAAGGCTTATGCCAAAACTTGTTTAATAAATATCTCTCAAGACAAGAGTAGTAGTCTGCAGTTTAAGAAGCAATATTAGGGACTGTGACGCAAGGTTAAGCATGAAATCATCAGCTAAGCAAGTGATTGATGGCAGACAAGAGTAAGTCACCAGCTTCACAAGACTAATGATGATCGATATACCATCTCATACTTAAAGCTTATTTCTTTCTGGTATAAACTATATGTATTAAGATACTTCATTTGTAGCTAAGAGTTTTATTGCTGTAATTGCAGTAAATCTTCACAAAAAGACTTCCACATACATACAGATACACATATAATCTTCCCCAGAAGTAAAGATTGCCCCTTATAAATGCAATGAGGATTGCTCCTTGTGCTCTGATAGGGGAACATCATCTTCTGATAAAAAAGACACCATCTTTTAATAGCAGAGACAACATTGTGACACTTATTTAATTGAAGGCACACAAAAAGGTCTATTCTGAAGCACAACACATGTTAGCAATAACCCGCTGCAGTACACTGTGTTGCTTTCATGAATGACTCAGTTTATATACTTCTAAAATTCGGATGGTGGTGGGTCATGCCTTCATCCCTCATGGGACTATTGTGAGAAGAAGATTTATATGAAGCATGTTGCATAGAACCTGGGACACAAAGTTTTATTCAGCCTTTTGATTTCTTCCCCTTCCTTCCTCTTTGTCTCTTTTAGCTTGCTAATGTTACTGTCATATGTCAAATAAATCTTTTGTTTGAGGATAGTAGAATATACTTTATATCAAAATTTCATTATATTCAAAAATCCATGAGATTATAGCTTCAATAACTAGTACTGTCAAAAACTGAGATTTTTGTGTTACTCCTTTTTATAGAAAAATAATAATGTGTGATACAGTAGAATCTCCACACAGATGGCATCAAGCTGACCCTGCAACTGCTAGATTATAATTCGTTTTATCTGTCAATGCATCTAACACACTGTGTAGTTATGTCCTCCTGATTCCACAGGTTCAGCCTGGGCTCGGTTCCACATCCTCTGCTCAGTTCCCAGTGAAACCCGCCACCCCAGAAATACAGCACCACAGAAATCTCAGTAGCATTATCTACCTGTCAAAAAACAGAGAGGAATGTGAAGTTTTGTTCAGATGACAGGTTCTCTCTGTGGAGGGAGGTTTTGATAAATGGCACATTTCACATGGCTATCTTTCATAACCTATAATCTTTTATAGTGTTTTCAACATTGAGATCAACATTAGGTCACCAAACACTGCTCTTAGATGGTTATTAAATATTAATTTCATCTAGCTGTGCTATAGCTAGCAAGGCTGAGCAAATAACCAGAAAAAATGAGTTGATTCTTGTACAAACAGACTTTTATACATGCCCAAGTTATTCATTTAAAAAAAAGTCAAATAAAAATCTGTTCTCAAAACCATATCTCTGATCAGCTAAAAACACATGTTTATGTTCTGTTCCAAAAATCTCTTTAAAGAGCCTTCTATGGCAGCCCCATTTGCTTGCTTCATGCCTTCTCCTTTAAAAAAGCCTGATGCAGCTTCCAGCCTCTTGCTCGCCTAGGTCAGCTTCCATTCAGATCACCAATGACCTCTTCATGCTTTTATAAGACTTTTCTATTTCCATGTCACCAGTCATAATAAATCCACCGGCTAAAATTTTTGTTTATTGTCTCTCAATTATGAGTTAAGCATTCATTCCTAGGTTTTCTGCTATGTCTTACCAGAAGCTCAGCTTGAGAAGGATCCATTTTTCAGTGTTTTCAAGCTACTGGTATATTTTATTTCTTATAGATTTGAAGAACAACTACCACCTCTTTTTGCTGGCTGCCATCTGGGGACACCTTTGAGGCTCCAGATGCCTTCCAGTTAAGCTTTCTGGACACTCTAAATATGGACGCTTATTCTCCCTTTCACAGTCAGAATCTTGCTCTTGTTTAAATATTTTCACTTGACTAAACCAGAACTACCCAAGATAATATCAAATTTTTATTAATTCAAAATATTTTTCTGGAGACATAGTGCCAATCTTTGCCATAGTATCTTTGCCATAGTCTCTTGGCTAGAGAAAGGTGACAGTTCTCTTTGTTCTTAGGAGTGGTTTTTATAAGAATCCAACATCAGAAGGTACAATAATATTCACAACACAATCTTAGAGTTCTACTTGCCATTTGCTAAACTCAAGCATTTTTTTTAATTTTTTTTTTTAATAATTTTTTTTATTAAGAAAAGAAGAAAAAAAAACATAAACAAAAAACAAGTTTCCACCTCCTCCCAGCCTCCCATTTCCCTCCCCCTCCTCCCACCCTTCTACCCCTCCCCCCACTCCTCTCCCCCTCCCTCTCCAGTCCACAGAGCAGTCCAGGTTCCCTGCCCTGTGGTAAGTCCTAGGTCCTCCCCCCTCCGTCCATATCTAGGAAGGTGAACATCCAAACTGGCTAGGCTTCCACAAAGCCAGCACATTAAGTAGGATCAAAACCCCGTGCCATTGTCCTTGGCGTCTCATCAGCCCTCATTGTTCGCCATGTTCAGAGAGTCCGGTTTTATCCCATGCTTTTTCGGTCACAGTCCAGCTGGCCTTGGTGAGCTCCCAGTAGATCAGCTCCACTGTCTCAGTGGGTGGGTGCACGCCTCGTGGTCCCGACTTCTTTGCTCATGTTCTCCCTCCTTCTGCTCCTCATTGGGACCTTGGGAGCTCAGTCCAGTGCTCCAGTGTGGGTCTCTGTCTCTGTCTCCATCCATCACCAGATGAAGGTTCTATGATGATATGCAAGATATTCGTCAGTATTGCTCTCGGATAGGGTCATTTCAGGTTCCCAATCCTCAGCTACCCAAGGAACTAACTGGGAACCTCATGTTGGGCACTTGGGAGCCCCTCTAGGGTCAAATCTCTTGCTCACCCTAAAGTGGTTCCCTTAACTAAGAATTGTGGTTCCGTGCTCCCCTATCCACCTTTCCTTTATCCCAATTCTCCTGATTCCCCAAATCCCCCCTCCTTCCCTTCTACCTTTTCTCTCCCCATCTCCCCTTACCCCCATCCCACCCCACCCCCAAGATCCTAATTTTCTCCCCGGCAATTGGGTCTACTTCCCTTAGCCAAGAGGATAACTATATGTTTTTCCTTGGGTTCACCTTCTTACTTAGCTTCTTTAGGTTCACCTATTGTAGACTCCGTGGCCCTAATTTATGGCTAGAAACCAATTATGAGCGAGTACATCCCATGTTCATCTTTTTGGGTCTGGGACACCTCACTCAGGATAGTGTTTTCTATTTCCATCCATTTG